GCGTCCCAAGGCGGAAGAGCCGCTCGTGCGCGGGCTCGTCCGGGCCCGCGGGCCGCGCCGGCCTGGGCGCGCTGCTCGCGCCGCGGAGGGCGGCCGCGGAGGGCGACGCCGGCCTGGGGGCGGGGCCGGGCGACGCGCCGCGGCGGGCGCGCCTGTCGGCCGCCATGGGCCCGATGCCCGCGGGGCTGGCCTGCTCGCGAGAGACGGGGGTTCGCAGGAAACGCGGGTGAGGTGTACGGGCCGGCGCGCCGCCCACAGCGCTTCAAGCACAGCCGCACGTCTGCGTGGCGCCTCGGCCCCGGTCGTTCTGCAAGCTTGATACCACATAATGAGGTCACCCCAGAGCATGGCTGGACCGCGAGTGGAGGAGTGATGCTGTGCTGTCTGGTCATCCCCTTTGCCCGCCCACGCACCTTGAGCGCCGTGGCACGCGCCCCCTGGGAGCCCTGCCTGTCCAGGCTTGGCTGCTTGAAGATTGGCGACGAGTAATACTCGCCCCGCTGCTCGGCCTGGGGCTGCGCGTGTCCCTGCGGCTGCCGTTGCTGCTGCTGCTGCGCGCGCGGAGCGCCCGTAGCCCTTGATGGGAACTTGCTGTGGGCGGCCGCGCCACCGAGCAGGCTCCGCTGCTGTTGCTGCTGCTGCTGCTGCTGCTGCTGCTGCTGCTGCTGCTGCTGCTGCTGCTGCTGCTGCTGCTGCTGCTGCTCCTGCTGCTCCAGCTGCTGCTCCTCCGGCCATCCGGCGCCACCGGTCAGCAGGTCTGCGACGGCGCGCGAGAGCTGGGCGCTGTTGAGGGCGCGCTCCAGGAGCTGTTGGTACATGAAGTAGCCCGGGGAGGCCTTCGCGCCGCCGTCAAGCGCGCCGAGGCCCGCGCCGGGCGCCTCCGCGGCGGCGGTCGGCGCCGAGGACGGCCCCAGGAGAGGTGGGGACGAGGAGGGGAGGTCGGGGGCGTCGCCGTCATCGGAGGGAATGGCCTCCGGCAGGCGGATGGGGCGATCCGCTGGGATATCACATGCGTCGACGCTCTCCTCGCGCGTGCGGCTCAGGGCGACGAGCGGCGGCAGCGGCTGGGACGCCTCGTCGCCGGCGCATGCAGCAGCTGCTGCGCTGGGGACGCCACCGCCGTCGGTGCCGATGCCAAGGCCCTCCACTGCGGAGGTCACGATGCGGTCTATTTCACCCTTTTCACTCATGTCCGTGAACAGCTGCCTCTGCCAGCTCGTAACGACTGCTTCACTGGGGTCCAGGACCCCAGCCACGTTTTTGTCCGCCATCTGTAGGCTATGATCAAGGTTGAAGAGTTGTCATACGATCGCCTTCCAGCATATGTCCGGGGGCGCTTCAAGAAAGAAAGGGTGCCGCAAGTATATCTAGCAGCGCTGAGGGCTTTCGCTGACGCGTGTATTTGGATTATAAGTCGCTGTACTCATGTGTACATGGATGACCTAAACGGATCATCACACCTCGCGGCAGGCGGTTTGCACCCGTATTTGTGGAAGTCTGCACTCTTCGTACGCGCTGCCTGCGATCATACAAACCCGAAACAACATATAAATTCATACATCAAGGTGATTTTTGCACCATGTTGCAAGCGCCGCTTCACCCGACCCTTGTGGTGCGCAGTATTCATCGACAAAGCGACCGAAAATCAAGGTCACCACTGCGCCTAGCTCGCAGCCAGCCCTGAATTGTTGTCAGCTTGAACAAGCAGTATGTTTAACAGGTCTCCAGTCAATCACGGCTGATCGCCATGCACAAGCGTACAGTCCTGCTTGACCAAGTCAGCATCACTCGAAACGGACGCCCACCGCACGCCACAGCACACCGTTTGGATTACGCACATCAAGATGACATCAGTCAATACCATGCACCATCAGTCCAACCGCCGCGAAGCAGCCAGCACGGCCGTGTCCGTCTCCCCCAGATCAAGGCCCCCAGTCCCTGCCGGGAGCGGCGCCGCCAGCCGAGGCGCCACGTCAGCGTCCACCTCTTCCAAGTCCCTCGGCCGCCATTTTGGGCACCGGTCCTTGTCAACCAAAAGCGCCCGGACGCCCTCCAAAAAGTCTGGCTGCGCCACACGCCGCACCGCCATTCGGTACTCATGACTCATGACGTCCCGCAGCGACACCAGCGGCGGCGCCGACGCCGCTTCTGCCGCGGGCCCAGCCGCCTCCGCCGCCACCGCTGCCGCGTGCAGTGCGGCGTAGTGGCGCAGGGTGATAACCTGGGAGCCGGGGCTGCTGCTGCGCAGCGCCGCCAGGGCGGCGCGCAGCAGGTCGGCGGCCTCGCCCTGATCAACGCCACGGCCGCAGCTGCCGTCGCCGCTGCCGCAGCCGCTGCTGGCGCTGCACGCGGCGAGCTCCTGCACAAAGCGCGGCATGCGATTGCAAACTTGGCAGCAGGCAGCTGCCTGTTAACGACTGTGCCAAGGCCACCTCTTATAGTCAAAACCTGGGGGGGTTGTTCTACGACTCCAGCCCCAGCCAATGCAAGGCGCCCTTGCCGCTTGCTCACCGACTCAAGCCGTGCCATTAGCTGCTGCAGCGCCTGAGCCTCGCCGCCCCCCGAACTGTCAGGTGCCCCATAGTGTTCTAATAGAAGCGGACCAAAGCACCGCTCCAGCAGCGGCCGCAGCCTCTGTAGCGGCCCCGGTGCTAGGCCGCCGTTACCGCCGCCATCGCCGTCCCCGCCGCCGCCGCCCCCGGCGGCTGCGGCGGCGCATGCGCGCGCAACCACGGCGTCGGCGAGCGCGGGTGCTGCCTGCAGGTCTTCCAAGAGGCGTGGCAGCGCCGCACTCGGGCAGTAGTGCGTGGCGACGCCCAGCCAAAGCAGATCCGCGCCCGACGCCACGCGGGTGCCGGTGAGGGCGAGGTATAGGCCGATTGCTGGTGACGCCAGACGTGCTGCGCGCCATGCGAATCCGACGTCCGGCCAGAGGCCTGGGTTTGAGCGGTCCAGGTGCGGGGTGAAAGAACATCGCGTGCCGCATGTGCGCGCAAAATCGGGCACGCAGCCTTGCACACGCAGGCCGCATCACGGCATGCGCGCCAGGGACGGCGTGGCGGCAGCAGCATGCATGCACCAGCCCCAGGGAAGCGGTGGCGCCCTGTAGCTTCACACCTATAATGTTTTCGGGCATGGCGAAGACGGTGCGCTCCGTCACAACCCTGCAGCAGCAGCAGGCAGTGACCACGTGCAGGCCAAAGTTTCAGCCCTAAATCTATGTCGACTTGGCATGCGACACCAAGGCATGCGCTAACAACAGCAAACCTTCATCTGATGCTTGCAACACAGCTGTACAATTTGCATGCACCTGCCATGTTGCCAAGCCGCCGGTTGCGCTCCCTGTGGGCATACAGGGCAGTTGGTGGCCTGGCGCCCTCTCCAGACCACACCTGTGGCGGCAGAACCCTGCAATCCCGAAGCCCAGGCCCATCCATATGCCATCGCACAGGGCAACCACCGGCAGACGGGAGGACAGCTCTGCGGTCAGCACCACTGTTGAGTACTCAGCCTGGCGCAGGCGGGGCACGTCGAGCCGGGGCAGGAGGTTCGGCGGGGCCGCTAGTTTGCAGTTAAGCAAGAGGTCGGCGGACATATTGGACAGGGAAGGCATACCACCAGGAATGTATCCTTCCTGAAACGTCCCCCTTGCCAGGGGGAGAGGAGCAGCCTGTCACAGTAATGCTGCACGTGCCACAAAGGTATGGTTCTGTGTGGACAAGCCCCTACCTGGAATACGCGGTGGACGTGGTGCCCGCGCGGGGGCGCGTCACTGTAGGGCGCCGCCAGCACAGCCGCCCTCGCGCTCTTCACATCTCCCCCTGGGCATGATACCAGGGGGAGCCACGTCTGGGCCCCTCCAAGCTTGTAATTGAGATGCCTGCTGATTCTTTGTTGCATTGCAGATGAGTGGTGCCCCCTCTGACGCGGTACCGCAACAGGCTGCGGCTTTCAAGAGCAGCGCACCTGCGCAAAACGCCTTGGGTGTGCATGAATCGAGGACGACAGCCGAAACGCCAGCTTGCCCCGCGGCGCAAGTTATGAGGTGCGCCCGCAGGGCTTCCACAGCTTCTGTGTTGCATGCAAGCGCACATGCATGAGCAAGCAGCCTGGTAGCATGTCAGGAAAGCGGCGGCTGCAACCCTTGCTGTACAGGGGTCCTGCAGACAAGGCAAGTAGCATGGATTCTGGCTTGTCAAGAGCCCGCAGGGCAGTGATCAAGCGCCATTCATCCCCACCTGCATCTAGGGCGTTCAGTACCTGTGGTTCAAGTCATCACGTCGCATCATCATGTGCATGACGCGGTGCTGTCCTGGGCCCGGCAGCAGTAGCATCGCCCAACACGCTGACTGTGCATGCAGTGTTTGACCCGCTCCAGGACGGGCAGGGGCGGCACCCACTTAAGCGGTGCCCGCACCTTCTCGCGGCACAGGGTGATGCGGCCGAGGGCGCCGCCAACCTGGCTGCGATAGACGCGCAGCTCAACGTGCGTGGCGCTGGCAGCTGCTTCGGGCGCTGCGTTGCTGCTCAGCATTGCCCCGTGCGCTCCGGCGCGATGGGTCCGCAGCGTGCTGCTGCAGCGTATGCAGCGAAATCTAAAAGATCTCGCAATACTAGACCGTGCGGTGCTCAGCATCATCGATGTAGAGGCTCAATGACGATCGCATCTGTATGACACCACCCGCGCACCACGTTACAAATGCACGGCCAAAAGTCATGTGGAAAAGAGCTTGTCATGACTTTGACGGCACATGCTTGCGCCGGCGGTGCTTGTGTGTGGCGCCCGCCCTGCCGCCGCGGAGGCGCTTTTACGTCCCAAGCGCTGTGTGGCTGCTCATGACCAGATATTGCAGAAAAACATGCAATTCGCTTGGTTTTTGGTGGTGGTAACGTGATCGGCGCCCCCTGCAAGCCCAACCGACCACGCGCCATGTCAGCTTCGCGGTACCGCCTTGCTTGGGCTGGTTGGAGGTGGGCACGGATGTCCGCTAAGTGCATGTGGCAACTCAGGGTGCCCCAGCCGCCTAAACTGAGTATACATGATCAGACTCAATTGCAGTGGGGACAGCCGCTGTCCACCTCACAGCTGCGTTGCCTTTGTGTTTTGGCTGTTTTCTCTTCCCACAGCTTGAACGCAGCCCCTTCTCGATGGTCCATTGGCAGCCGCACCAGCCACGCTGAGAAGTGCCCGAGAACATGCATGGATACCTGGGCATCAGGCTGTGGGGAGGTTGGGGCAGCACGCACGGCAGGCGCGTGGATGTATGGGAGGGGCTAAAACGGCCATTACGGCCCTGCAAATGGAGCATCCCTGATGGGCGTGGGCAGAACGGTGTGTGGGCATGGTGGAAGGCAATGCGGGTGAGGGTGAGATCCTGTGGAGGCAATCACATGAGTAATGTGAACGGAGGCAACAAGGCGTGGCCTGCGGCGCCCGCCGCCCGTGCCTCGGACACCCGCCCTCCCCGATTGGAGGGGTGACCTGGCACCCAGACGCGCGCGCCGACGGTGTCCCCGGACCCAGCCGCTAATAGATAGTTGCATGAAAAAGATTGATTTACCATGTTTTATGGTGATTGGGGTGATCGGCCGGCCAGGCAGCGGGACGCTGGTCACCCTGCGCGTTGACTGCAGCCGCGGGCACTGGTGTTCACCGTTCCGGGCAAAGTCACCACCGCCCTCGCATATTTAGACGCATTCACCTTTGTTTTCAGTATCACAATCCTGCGCTTCAATCGCAATCCGCAGCGAACCTTCTCGCCCAGTACGCTCGAGCCTACGGTTATCAACATGGCCCGCGGAACCATCGCCTTGGCGCTCCTCGTGGCGGGCCTTGCACTCGCAAGTGAGTCTTCAAATATGCAGCCAAGCCTAGCAATGGGCGCCTGGCGCGGCGATCCGGCCCCGCCCAATGCTGCCTGCGCACCTCCCCGGCCCCATGCATTGCTCACGTGCCAACCGTGCTGCACTCTCAACGTCCATCATGCGCAGGCGCCGCCCCCTCTCGGAAGATGCTGGGGGAGAAGGCCCTGCCATACGCCCCAGGCAGCGACGTGAGTTGCGGTTTGCTCACCCCAAGGGGGGGGGGCGGGGCTGGGGCACACGGGGCAGCACAATGCTCCCCAGACCAAGGGACGCGCTCATTTGGCACGTGACTGGGATGCAGCAGTCAAAAGTGCTGCCTGTTTTGACACGCGCAGCCGCTGGCGCAGCTGGACACGTGCGGCAGCGCGCGTGCGCGCGATCATTCTCGCCACCCTCGCACGAGACTCGCCTGCGCGTCACGTCTGGCGCGCTTCGCCTTTATTCACCAAACCCACAACAGATGGGTCCCCTCCTCAACATGATGGACACCCAGAACGCCGTCCAGCGCGTCTCCGACTTTGCTGACGGTTACCCCACCGCTGCCCTCGCCGTTGCCGCCCAGCAGCACGCCGCCGCCTCCGCCTATGGTGGCCCCTGGTCCAGCTTCGGCCCCAGCTTCGGCCGCAAGCTGCAGCAGCTGCGCCGCAGCCTCCTCGGCGAGAAGGCTCTGCCCTTCAACCCTAACAGCGACGTGAGTGCGGGGCGCGCAGCGCGCACGGGCGATTGAGCCTAGCTGGCTAGCCACAGTGCAATGGCGCCTCGTTCCCATGCGTGCTCAGAGATGGGCTGGGACAAACTAGGGGGGGAATGCAGGACCATCTGCACCCAGTTGGTGTGCTCAGAACGTTCTTGTAGCATGGAACCCTTGCACTAACTGCGTCACGCCCATCACAATGTTCGCAGATGGGCACCCACCTTAACATGATGGACACCCAGGCCGCCGTCCAGCGCGTCTCCGGTTCCGCCGACGGCTTCCCTGTTGCCGCCGTTGCCGTTGCCGCCCAGCAGCACGCCGCCGGCGCCGCCTATGGTGGCCCCTGGTCCAGCTTCGGCCCCACCTTCGGCCGCAAGCTGCAGCAGCTGCGCCGCAGCCTCCTCGGCGAGAAGGCCCTGCCCTACGCCCCCAACAGCGAGGTGGGTGCTGGAAGCTGCGGGAAGCTGCGGGTCTGAAACCGGGGTTGTGCAGCAGCAAACTGAGGGTGTCATGCGCTGGCTTGTGTGTCACATAAGCGGAGCAGCAGCAGTGAGCAGCACGGCAAGCTTTTTGAGTCAGGGAAGCTTCCAACCTGATAAGCAGCTTCGGCTTGCCCTCATCCCTACCTTGAATGTCACCTGCAGGAGCCTTGCTGCAGAATGCTTCACAACCCCCCTCTCACCCACGCCCCTTCTCGCTCCCACCTTGTCACATCCTCCAACAGATGGGCCCCCTCCTCAACATGATGGACACCCAGAACGCCGTCCAGCGCGTGTCCGGCTCCGCCGACGGCTTCCCCACCGCCGCCGTCGCCGTGGCCGCCCAGCAGCACACCGCCGCCTCCGCCTATGGTGGCCCCTGGTCCAGCTTCGGCCCCACCTTCGGCCGCAAGCTCTCCGGCTCCGACGCCAAGGCCGCCGCCGCCGCCAAGGCCGGCGCCGCCGCCAAGGACGCCGCCGCCGCCGCCGGGTCCGACAACCGCGCCGCGGCCGTCCTGTCGCGCGCCGCGCTGGCCAGCCAGCTGCCGTCCCGCGCGGCCATGCTCAACTCCATGTCGACCGACGAGGTGCTGCCCAGCGCCATCGCCTCAACCGCCGAGCGCGCCCGCGCCGCCGGCTACACCACTTCCTACGGCTACGGCTACGGCGTGGTCGGCGGCCACTAAGCGGCCCCCGTGCCCCGCGCCGCCGCGGCGGCCCCCCAGCGCCGGCCCACCTTTGCGCCGCGCCGGGCCGCCGCCGCGCCGCGCCTTGCACGGGCGTCGTGTTCTGTTCGGGGAGGACGGCGCGCCCTGTCTGTCGCATCAGCGCTCGGGCTGCCTTTCTCGATTTCATCGGGCCTGGGTTTTGCTGGCCGCCCCTGGGGGCCAATCCTCGCGCGCCTGAGCCTGCTCGCAGGGCTCTGCAACTGCATGCTTGCGCACACCTGCCCGCGTCACGCCGCCGCCCATCCCCGGCACGCTCTGCACACTTACCTCCGAATCCACATCATTGTTGCAGATCGCGACGCAACACAAACCACTGCCGCATTTTCATCGGCCCCCGTTTCATGCATGCGCCCTGGGCTGCCGCCCATGCACGCGCGCGCGCCGCTCTTTTCGCGCACGCACCCAATCCGCATCTAGCTAAATTGTTCCCATGATTCCACCTTTCCTTCTCTTGTCGGCTGCCACACGGGGAATCAAGTTGCCGCAGCTGCGCCTCTTCGCTCCCCTTGCCGCCAAGACAGTCGTGCACAGCCGACTCCCTTTTCTGCTCCAGACCCCGCACCCGGGCGCCGCGAATGCATTTGCAATTCAATGCTGATGCATCATGCATGCAAGATGCATGAAGTGCCATTCGTTTGATCCTCCCACCGTCGTGTAACTGCCCATCCGCGGTTCCAATTGGCCCATCCACCCGCACGCAGCCTGTCGCCGGCCGGTAAGGTGCTCATTAGGATTGATGGTCGGGCAACCGTGTCACCGTGCGTGTGCGATGTTGCCGCTGGCGTATGCATGACGTATGTGACGAGCACGCGCCGGATCACAGGATCATCATCATCAGCAGGGCCGGGCGGGGTGCCGGTGACGGTTGAATCAGGCGGCCTGGTAGGTGAGTCATCATGGGGGGGGGGGTTCAGGCCCTAGGGTGTGTCCAGACTCCTCCTGCTTGCGGTGCTTGGACAAGGCGACAGCAGTGCACTGTTTGATAGAATTGTCTCAAGGTGCCGTTGGTCAAAGCTGAAGGCAAGGAGTCCCCCGCCTGATCACCCACCGCCAGGACGTGCCTTGCCTGCTCGTTGGTCACTTCGTTGCTCACCGCTGCCTTGCGCCTTCAGGCCGGCAAGTTGGTGTTTATGTAGGCTCCGTGTGCTGCACAACGCGAATTGAACATCATCTCGCCAATATTTCATTTACATTCGCGTGCACACCCCTTTGTCACGTTGAGGCTCTCATCTCTCGTGCATATCGACGACAGACCGAAGCAGAATCCTTGAAAGAACGAAGCCGATTTGAACCCTGAGCATCGATTTTCAAAGCCGCAGCTTCCATGGCCCGCTACGCTGCTACCTGTGCTGTCCTCCTGTCTCTGCTTGTGCTTGGATCTGCTGGTGAGCGAATGCGAGATGCGCTGCATGAGGGGCGCGACTGGTTTCATGACGCAAGCCTAAGAACAAACATGAACTACCGTCATAGAGGCAGGACACGGCTCCGGTTTGCAGCCGCATGCAGGCCGCGAACGCGACACACCTCGCTTTGACTTGATTTGACCCGTGGGAGGGATCCTTGTTGACCACTCCATCCCCACCACCCTCCTCCCTCGCAGCGACCGCCACC